TATGGTCATCTGTTTTTGCTTCTTGGACATGTTTAATGTTTATCTGTGGCCCTAATAATTAATTAAGTATGTGTTTTGGTAATTTTTTGTTTTCTGATTACCTCCAGGAAGATGTGATCAGGATGTGGTCTTTCCTTTTCACTCTCCTTATTGCTTAATTGAGAGTAACTTTTTTGGGCCTCAGTTGGGTTTGGGCCTCGGGTGGGTGGGTTGAGTCTAGGGTGGACGGTTTGGGCCTCTGGGGGCCTGGGCATCAGCGACCGGGCTGCAGGAGGGTTGGTCTTCGGGCGGGTAGTTTGGGCCTCGGGCTGGTGGTTTGGGCCTCTGGCAGGCGGTTTGGGCCTCAGTGGGCCTGGGTATCAGCAGCTAGGCATCGGGCAGCTTGGGCCTCAGTGGGCGGCTTGGGCGGATTGGGCCTTGGGGGGCCTGTGCCTTGGGGACCGGGCTAAGGGTGGCTTGGGTCTCAGGGGCACTAGGCCTTGGCGACTGGGTTACGTGGTGGGTTGGGCCTTGGGGGCCCTTGACCTTAGCCGCGACGGGACTGTGGACCTCCTGGGCCATGAGGTGGGTAGGCAATTTGTGCCTTGGTTGGGCCTGGGCATTTGTGACCAGTCTGTGGGCGGGTTGAGCCTCAGGGCAGGCCTTGGCCTCAGTGGGAGTATCTGGGCCTTGGGAGGGCCTTGGCCTCAGTGGACGGGCCTTTGCCTTGGGCGTTCCTGAGCCTCAGCAGCTTGGCAGAGGGCTGGTCTAGGCCAGGGCAGTAGAGGGCTGGGGGTAGTGGCTGCAGGGAAGTAGTGTCCATATTTGATGATGTAAAAAATGCTTCTCTCAGTCTCTCTGTACCATAGGTACCCCGAATTTCCTGATATCTGCGCCGATATCCCTCTCTATTTGTTCGGCTTTGTTAGTTTATGCTTCCTTTTCTCTGGAAATGCAGCCTTCTGAGTGGGATTGCTCTAGCCCTGCATTCCAAGGTCTGCAGGGGGCAGAGGCACTCACCAGTGTGGGCACGGAAGCGGGAGCTGCGTGCAGGCAGGCAAAAGCTCAAAATGCCTGCAATTCCTCAGCAATTTGATCTTTCAAAAAACGAGTTCAGAATGTTGAAATATAAGATCTTATGTTTGTTCAAAGGCTGTCTGACTGCTAGACAGAGGTTTCCTATGTACGATTCCACCCCTTTTCCCTGAGACTGCCAGACCTGAGCTGCCTGGTCAGGGAAGCACCGGAAGTCCTTTCTCTCCAAGGTTTCCACTTTTAAAGCCCAGCAGCCCCCATACTCAGAAACACGGGGTGCGCTTCCAGCTGATGACGGTGTTTCCATCTCTCCATAGGATTTCCTGCTGTTTGGGGCAGATGTTCACTACGGCTAACGTTGTCAGGGATGCGGGGAGCTGTCAGCTGCCAGAGGAGGGCTTGTCATCACCAATACTGACAGACATGTGGAGCCCAGACATCTTTCTCTAGCCAGCCCTTTCTAGGTCTTGACCAAGAGGCCCTTGTGAACTCTTCTCAACCCTCAAGAGCTAAAGCTGCACAGACAGTTCTTCCAGTGATTGCATTTCTGTTGTAACCACAGTATTTCTACTTGTCCTCATACGTGTCCACACCAAAAAAACAAACAAACTTTTTTTTTCTGTAGAATTCTTTGTGTTCATATTGTTTCTTGTGTTGTGATCATTCATTTATTGTTATTGTTGTGAACTGCCGTTGAGTCAGTTTTGGCCCATAGAGATCCAGTATAGGGTTTCCGAGGAGCAGTTGGTGAACTTGAACTGCTGACCTTGCAGTTCAAACAGCCTTGCTGTCATGGTGCAGTAACACACAGTGCCACACCATTCATTAGCTATTACCAATATGGTGACAGTGTAAATATGTAGCACAGATACACAAATATATAACACACCTCTTTTTCAGTTCTCCAATTAATCTCTTGAACCTATACTTACCTATATTAGTAGATGGAGTGAGTCGTCCAAATATCACACGATTGTAGAGTGGGTTTGTTCATGGGCTTGCTGTTCCTGTTATGACCACATGGTGTCACTTTTGTGTAGTGAGTCTGTACAGCCCGTTCTCTTGTGGAGTCAGTCTTGTAAACCCTGAGACAATTGGTCCTGCCACTAGTACAGTGTTGCTGTTCAACAGCTGTTTTGCACAGCCTGTCTGACCTGTTCCACACTGGAGGTCTGTGCTCTCCGACCCAGGCTTTGTTCCCAAAGCAGAAACGTGGCCCAGAGATCAGAGGCTATTGTGGTTTCCACTCAGTCTCATCCTTGACTCTTCTCCATAACTCGTCAGGCCCTGATCACCAGCCGAGACTCACCTTGGAATTTGGTGTGTTTCTTTGGTGGGAGGAACATCAGATGGGGCTATCTCAGAACATGCTCCTTAGAAGTGAGATGGCAAGACTTCAGCTCAATTAACGTGGGGCCCATCACTAGGAATGACAAATCACTAGAAAAGTCCATCATGCTTGGTAAAGTCGGGGGTCAGGAAGAAGGACTGACACACATCAGCCAAAGCAAGAGACTCAAACATACCAGCAATCAAAAAGATGGCCCGGAACCTGGCCAAATTTCACTGTGTTTGATATAAGGTCACCAGGAGTCAAAGCTGACTTGGTAGCAGCTAATAATAATAGTGCTGAGCTTCAGATGGATTGAGCAGGCATAGAAGGCCTGAGCATCTGACATTTGGGCTGAGACCAGAAGATGAACACCATAACACCTCAAGGGCTTGAAGCAGGAGTTGAGGTGTGAGATGACATAACACAATTTCATTTTAAAATTACTTTGTTATGAAGTCTGAGAGAAATTGGATAGGGCAAGATGAAAGAGAACAGGCACAAATTAGAAATCTGTTGCTGTTGTTCAGAGTTCAACAAGGGCTGTGATCGTAAAAGAAAATGGATTGAAGCATTAGTAAGGAAGAAAAGCAGATAAAAAGTTGTACTTGTTTTTGTTTTAAGAAAAATGCATGTGTCTCTGTTATCATTGATTTTCTGTTAAATAGAAGTAGTGCCCCTGATGCCACATGGGAAAGGAGGACACTGATCCAGCCCCCACAGGAGTCAGGCACAACTCTTCATTTAATTCTCATCGATGTTCACAGCACTGCCAATACCCCACAGTGGGGATTGTTCACCTTTTCTATTGAGTCCCTTTCCCCAGACCACACAGCAGTCATCCCATGATGTTTGCGTTCTACCAGCTGCCAAAAGCTTGCCTGTTTGGCCTTTGGCATGTTTAAGACATGTTCTGAAATGAGTCAAAAGCTGTACAATGAAAAAAAAAAAAAAAAAGGCAAGAATAATTGATGCATTTGGATTGTGTTGTTGGCAAAGATGTTGAATAGTCCATGAACTGCCGAAAGAGTGAATCAGTTAGTCTTAGAAGAAATAAAACTGAAATGATCCTTAGAAGGGAGGATGGCCAAGCTTCATCTTATCTTAGGACATTGTTGTTGTTGTTGTTATGTGCCATCGAGTCGGTTCCGACCCATAGCGACCCTGTATAGGGTTTCCGAGGGTGTAAATCTTTACGGGAGTAAAAAGCCTCATCTTTCTCCCACGTTTCAGCTGGTAGTTTCAAACCTCTGACCTTAAGGTTCACAGCCCAATTTGTAACCACTACGCTACCAGAGCTCCTTAGGAAAGACCAATCCCTAGGTAAGGACATGATGTTTGGTAGAGAAGAGGGTCAAGGAAAACAAGGAAAATCCTTAATGAGATGGATTAATTGGCACAACAGCTGCAACCATGGGTTGAAACATATCAAAGATCATGAAAATAACAGAGGACCCAGAAACATTCATTCTGTTAGGAGTCTGAGCCAACTTGACAACAATTAACAACATATCCAAGACAGGCTTGCTGTATGCCATTAACGAAAGTGGTGCCCAAGTGGAAGGAATAAAACTCTCTTTCTCATCTGTCCACCAAGACGGTGAACCTTTTTCTAATTTACACAAAGGCTAGCAGAGGACCTGAATAGGAAGAGAAAAGAAGTCAGGAAGCTGGAGGGAAGACAGCAAGGGGAAACACGTGAGGTTGAGAGGCCTTCAAGGCTAATAAGAATTCTGGGTTTTGTTAAAAAAAAAAAAAGAAGAAGAAGAAGAGAAAACACTGAAGAGCTTTGAGAAAGAGAATGACACAATTCTCTTCACAGTTTTATAAGTCCCCTCCTGGCAGCTGTGAGCAAAATAACTGTTAAGTACGGGACACAGTCCTGCCTTCCCACACTCTTGTCTTCTTTCCCAGCATCCTCTTTGGAGATAGTAGACCCCCTCCCACACCTACTCTTTCTTTTCTAGAACATTCAGGCAGTCCCTGCTGTACTCTCTATAGAAAAATGAACAATGAAAAATAGACATTGTTACTTGGTCCTAAAGACTGTCCAGTGACGCCCTCCCTGACCTGGAAGCTCATTCTAATGGTGGAGAAAATGGCCAAGGCAGTGGTTCAGAAGTTGTGGTTTGAGGAGCACTCTCCAGTACACTCCAAATCACCTGCCAAACTGTCAACAAACCCACTGTTCTGCTGCTCCTGTAGGCTGTGTATTGTCTGCTCCAGATGACTGCTCATGGACACAAGGTTTCTTCTGGTGTGTTGGAAATATTCTAAAATTAGATTGTGGTGACAGTTGCACTGCTCTGCAAGTGTACTAAAACCCACAGAATTGTGCTCTTTAAATGGGTGAATTAGTGGGGGAATAAAACCCCAAACAAGACTTTCACTTGGTGGCAAGAGCCATAATTAATTAAGGAATAAAATAAATAAATTGAGACATATTAATTGAGGAATTAAAATAAATAAATGAGACACGGGGAAACCTGGGCATAGAAGAATTCATTGTTTTTGCAAAGCAACAATGGATTATTTTCCTTGGATAGCAGAGCTACAAGGATTTAATATTCTGTGCGCAGATCCCTAGTTAAATTTTCCTCTTTTTGAATCATTCTCTGATTTATTCATGATTTTATTAGTATCCTTTTTACTTTAGATTTTTGACCTTCCTACACTTTAGTATATTTTTATTAAAAGTTAGAAGCCATATATTATTTACATCTTATTTTACTTGTAATCTTAGGTAGTTTTAATACTTATATTAACAATGTTCTTAAGACTATTAGGAGACAGGATTTGTCAATTGAATTACTACCAGCTTAGGTTTAGTGATGTAAACATTCTTCCTTGTAGACTCAGTTTAAGGCAATAAAATAGGGGAATTGTTTTCATAGCCTCAGCTTTCCTGAAAGGGATGTTTCTGTAGGAGGAAGTTATGGAAGTGTAAATTGCACCTGACAATTAGGCTTGATAACTTAAGATTTGACTAACAAAGGTCAAGAAACAGGTAAAGGTTAACTTGCTTCTCAGAGAAAAGAATAGATTTATGTAGGAACAAATGTTTAACTAAAAGGTTTCAAGGTGCCAAAATGTCTCCTATGCCTTGAGATAATGTCTCTTTGCTGTAACTTTTCATCCCTGTTGTAAATCATGAAGAATGTGCCCCAGACTTGATTGTATTTCAATGTCATTGATTACTATGAAAGCAATGTTTTTTTGTAATGGTATATAAGGGGGTTGTAAGATAGAATAAGAAAAAGTAGAGGTAAGTAGAAAGAAGGAAGAAGGAATATGAGTAAGTAGAGAGAGGAGGAAGTAAGAGGAAGAAAGGAGGAGATAAGAAAAAGAATAAGGAGAAATGCAGAAGGAGGGGATTAGTGTAAGGAGGAATGTGGAAGGAGAGAAGTAGAAGGAATGTAGAGAATAAAGGGAGTAGTGGCGAAGGAAAAATAATGGCATAAGAATAAAGCAGGAGAGGAGAAGGAGAAGGAATAAATGGAAGGATAATAAAGCATGTAAGAAGAAGATCAGAGAGGGAAAGCAAGAGGGGGAAGTAAAGAAATGGAAGGGGACTAAAAAACCAGGAGGAGAGAATGAAAGTAGGAGCAGGGGAAGGGAGAAAAGAAGCAGAAGAGATGAGCAGGAGAGCAGGGGAGTAAAGAATGAGCAGGACAGTAAAGAATGAGAGAGTAAAGTAGCATAGAAATGAGAAGAATAAAGCATGTACTAAGAAGATTTTGAATTCATCACGACCCATGACTCAGTGCAATTCTTATCGCCGACGGCCACATTCCTCTTTGGAAAAACCCTGGAATAAGTTTGGTGGGGCTGGCTCCTGGCAACTTGGCTACCTAGAAGCTCACCATTGGGGCAACTTCCTTTCTGGACTAAGCACTGCCCTCTAGTGGGTTCCTTGTTGGAAATGCTGACAGTATAAAGCACCTCAGCTTTGTAAACATAACTCGTTAAAGGTGTGGGAGTGGTGCCCTGCGGGGAAAGGGAAAGGAAAAATGAATCCCAGAGAGG